TTATTATTTATTGTTGAGAAAGGGCCTCACTATGTAGCTAAGGCTGACTTCAAACTCACAGTGGTCCTCCTGCCTCAGCCTCCCGAGGGCTGGGATCATGGGTGTCCCCACCACGCTCTGCAAAATCAGCGCTCATGCGAAGTCCAGGGGTAGTTCTGCCTACTTCCGTGCCTTTATATTCGCACAAGAACCCAAACCTGAGTAGCACAAGGGTCTGCAGGAGCTGCCACTGTGTCTGGCTGCCCGGAAACCACCCCTTCCTTCACCTGGGCACCCAACCAGTTCCCATCAAGGTTCCCCACCCCCACCAGGGGCCTGGGGCTTGCGGCAGAGGCCAGGCATGGCCCTGCCCCGAGGGGCTCAGTCCCCTGCTCCAACACAGGACCTTAACACCAGAAACGGCAGCCACCTGTCACTCTGTCCTGACAGAGGCAGCTGCTTCAACACTAGGTCCTGGGTGGTGACTTAGCTACAGACGGCAAAAACAAGACACAGAGCCCAGGGCTCAGCGCCGTCGCCTACAGGTTTGTGAGTTCAGATTAATCACTCGATGCTCTTTCCTCATCCGTGAGGTGGGAACAATGACAGCAAGTGGCTCCTGCAAGGAGAAAGTGAGCCAGCGCCCAGGAAACACCTAGCATAATGACTTCCGGTCGCAGGAGCTTCCCAGGTCGTTGTTCTTGTTGAACCATGGCAGCGAGGCTCTGAGGAAATATTGGGTGCTACCATTTGTGGACCGGCTGTCTTGCAGACTGGGACACATTTGGTAGGAACGGAAGTCCCAGGCCCAAGGTGACACAGACAGGCCACCCCTCGCAGACTGGGCTCAGGCCCTGTGATGGCGTCCTGCCCCCAGAAGTCTCCCTTTCTCTCCCAAGAAACTGCAGGCTACAGAGGACATGGAAGGGCCATGACAGTAAATCATGGACAGAGGCAGGAGGAATGGCACAAGGGACATGATTGGGACAGTTGACAAAACTGAATGTGGCCTACCAGCCCGGTGAGGCACCACACTGCTACAGTGCCAGCACTCTGGGAGGCTGAGGCAGGAGCATCACACTTCTATTCCAACCTGGGTAACTTAGTGACTGAAGGAGACCCTGCTTCAAAATAAAAGCTGAAGAGAGGGCAAGAGAGGAGCTCACTGGAAAGGCCTGGGTTCAAAAAATTAAATAGGAGCCACGCACTGGGTAATGATACTTACCATGGCTTGAATACTATCCCCACCCCAACCCAAAACTCTTTTTTTTTTTTTAGGGGGGTCTGGATACCAGGGATTGAACTCACAACCTTGTGCTTGCCACGCAGGAGCTTATGCCACTGAGCCATCTCCCAGGCCCCCCAACCCAAAACTCTGATGCTGAAATTCTAACCAGCTCTCCAAAGGGCAGTGCTATCTGAAGTTGCGGCCTCAGAGCAGTCCTGTGGCCAGAAAATCTTTAGGGCAGGCCCGCAGCTACTCAAAGATAAAGACCAAACTGCCAGCTCCCAGCTCTGAGACTTCTGCATCTAAAACTATGGGGGAAGAGACGCCTGTTCCTCAAGCTGCGCGGTTTGTGGCACCTCGTCACGCAGCCCGGGGAAGCGATCCCAGTGGTACTCCATCGGAGTGCAAGCCTTAGCTGGGCGCAGCAGCACAGCTGTGACCCCGAGGATGTAGGAGCTGAGACAGGAGGATCACCAAATGCAAGCCCAGCCTGGACATTTTAGTAAGCCCCTGTCTGGAAAGGAGAGGAGGGGAGGGGAGGGGAGGGGGAGGGGGAGGGAGGCGAGGCCAGGCATGGCCCTGCCCTGAGGGCTCAGCCCCCTGCTCCAACACAGGACCTTAACACCAGAGACGGCAGCGACCTGTCACTCTGTCCTGACAGAGGCAGCTGCTTCAACACCAGGTCCTGGGTGGTGATGGAACCTGGAGATGGAACTCAGCGGCAGAACAATGACCAAGTCTGTGTGAGACCTGGGTTCAAACCCCAGCGCCACCGAAAACAAACAAAATTCGAAGTTTTCTGAAGAAGGAATGCATTCTATTTTTTTTTTTAATTTTTTTTTTTTTTTTCAGAAGTGGGGATTGAACTCAGGTCCTTGTACTTGGGAGGCAAGCGCTTATTCTATTGAGCTATCTCCCTGGCCCCAAGGAAAGCATTCTGTAGTCACACAGGACCCTGTCCCACTTTAAGACGATGTCCTGAGGGCTGGCAAGATAGCTCAGCGGTTTAAAGCACCTGCTTAGACATGCTTAGCAGGCACAGGGGATGGCAGCTCCATCCCTGGCAACACATGCTGCGCCAGCCCCACCCTCAGGGCAGGCTGAAAAAAAAAAAAAAAAAAAAAAAAAAAAAAAAAAAACATCCTGAGACCCTACAGGGAAAGGACCACCAGTCTGCAGCTTACTGTGACAGGGCTGAGCGGTCAGTCAGGACAGTGGGGCGCCCTGAAGTTAGAGACCACATGGTAAAATGTCACCTGGTGAGTCCAGGTGAAGGTATACAAGAAACAAGGCCACTGTATTGTTTTTCTAGCATCAGCACTGGATGGGCGCACCACGCCCCGGGACTCTGCCCAGTTTCTGGGGCAGAAGGTCTGGGAGGAGAGGCGGCCACAGACTGCCGAAGCCCGTTACCCATCATTTCCCAGAAGAAGCCGGGCCCTCGGGCTGGGCAGGGGAAGCTGAGGCCTCACCCACGCACCTCCATCACCACCCCCGCCCCCACCAGCCTGCTCCCCATGCCCAGCTCTCCTACTCTGCCCCATCCCAACCTACTTGGCCTGTTCCTGAAAGGGCCCAGCCCACAGCCCACACCTCCCCTTGCGGGGCCCTGGGTGCCTCCAACACTAAAAGTTAACCAACTGAGGCTCCCAGAGGCAGAATCCACACAGCCAGGCTCAGAAGCCAGGATCAAACTGGGGTCTCCCTGCCCTCAGCCTGGGCTCTGCACTGTGGCCCTCCCGGTGCCCCATACCTGCCAGCCTGGCATGGGGCCACCTGTCACAGCCACTTGTGTTCCAGGGACGTCTCCAGCCAGGGACCCTTAGACAGTGTCTCCAAGCAGCCCAAAGCCTGGCACTGTCTTAGCCTTAGGCTTGGGGCTACCTGGCTAGCCCTCCCAGGGGTCACTGGGCTAGGGCAGCACCTGACCCAGGGTACAAAAAGCCTCAAACCACTACGCAATTGAAGGATCAGGCAGAAATTCCGTCTTGGAACGTCTGATCTAGACCCCTAAAAAATCACACAAGTTCTAGCCCAGACAATGCAAAGTAAGGGCCAGGAAACCCTGCCACCCAGACCCAGAAGCAGATCCTCGTCCAGGCAGCACAACCTGTGGCCTTTGCCCTGCTTCCACCACACAACTCTGCAAAGTAAAGGGACTTGGGAGTCCTTCATCTTCCTTGTTTGCATTTGGTTTTTGGCAGTACAATCCATCAAACCCAGGGCCTTTGCACCGATCTACAGCCGCAGCCCTTTTAATTGTTTTAATTGGAGAAAGGGTCTTGCTAAGTTGAGTGGGCAGGACTCAAACTCACAGTCCTACCTCAGCCTCCCAAGTGCTAAGACCATAAGCGTGTGCCACCTAGCTGGCTAACTGCCTCATTTTCCTCTTAAGGCGAGACCTGGCTCCTTAAAACCCCTGCTGCTTGTTTGTTCAAAACCACTTAGAGCCCAGGCTCCCCAGAGGGCCACGAGGGCTGGCTGCATCTTCATGATTAATGGAAATGGGCTTTCCTGAAATTTCTATGTATCGATCCAGTTCTGCTCACGGCAGCCAAAGACAACTGTGACTCTTTTGTGTCACTGAAGTATTTGTCTTCTTTTTTTTTTAAAGTTTTTATTTATTTATTTATTTATTTGTGTGTGTGTGTGTGTGTGTGTGTGTGGCCAGCTCAGCCCACCAGGGGGCGGGCTGGCTGGCATGTGGTGCTGGGGGATTGAACTGCAGTCCCTGTGCTTTGCTAAGCTTGCTCCAAGTAGGTGCTCTAGACCACTGAGCCATCTCACCAGCCCCTGAAGTATTTGTCTTCGACTTCCAACATTTCCCCAAGTGTTCTCCTTCAGTACTAATGTGCCCCGAGTGGATTTGGTTTTGTTTCTTGTTCTGATAACCTCAAAGACTATGAAAAGCCTGGCTCTTCCATCATGGTCACACACCCCACTGTCCAGTATCATCTACCTGAGTTTAGAATACACACTCTAGCCGGGCATGGTGGTACACGCCTGGAATGCCGGCGCTGGGGAGGCTGAGGCAGGGGGATCGCTGGAAACTTGCGGGTGCTAGGTTCTAGCCCTAGTATAAACTGCTAAATTCTTATGGTGGTCATGTAACATGGCTGAAGCCCTTAAAACAAGGGCTTCTATCTTTCCAATGACCACTTCCTCCTTCTTCCCCACTCCAGCCCTGGATACAGCTTCCTCTCACCTTGCCTGCACACACAGGAGAGACCCCAGCCAGCACCTTACATGTAATTAAACCTGCCCCTCAAACTCCACCCCTAGCAAAAGCCCACAGAAGTCTCAGCCTTCTGTGTCTCAGATCAGAGGACTCCCCATCTGCCTTTGACCCTCTCGGTGTCTTTAGAGTTAATAAAGCCTTCTTTTTTTTTCTTTTTTCCGGCAGAACCGGGGATTGAACTCAGGCCCTTGCGCTTGCCAGGGAAGCACTTATTCCACTGAGCCATCTCCCCAGCCCCATAAAGCCTTCTTTTATCTTTCCTATCTCTTTACTGTGCTGCTGAAAAACCTAATAGAGGGCCGCTTGGGCTACACAATAAGTTCAAGCTAGGTCTGGTTGACAGAGTAAGACCCTGTCTCAAAAAAAAAAAAAAAAAAAAAAAAAAATTTACTTAAAAAAGTTCTAAAGAAGTCCTTTCTTTTACCAGGGATTAAACTCAGGCCCTTGCGCTTGCCAGGGAAGTGCTTATGCTACTGAGCCGTCTCCCCTGCCCCAGTAAGTGCTTTCTTAAACAAAATGTAAAGAAAATGCAGATGTGATAACCTCTAAACTCACCAAGCAGCTGAGTCAGAGGTCACAGGGCCAGCAGATGGCAGCACGGGGACACCAGTGGAGAGGGCTCAGAGCAGGGAAGCCTTAGCTCAGAACCAGGCCACTGCAAGCAGGCAGCGTAGGACTCGAACCTGAGCCTACAAACCAGATCACAGGCAGATGTGTCAGTGCCTCCCTTGCACAGCCGAGCACTTTCCCAGGGCCTGGAAGTCTTCTTTCCAAAGCACTTAGCAGCTTCTAGCATACTCTGCATACTTTATTTATTAATCCATTAGAATATCAATTCCACTGGAGATGTTTGATGTTTGGTCTCTTTTGCTCACTGATATATCTTCTAGACCTAGAACAGTGTCTGACTTCTACAGTAAATGCTCAGTAAACATTGTGTGAATAAAGTAGTTCGCAAGCATTTCCAAAATGCATCCTACGGTGGGCTGCGAACTGAGTCTCTGGCGCCCAAATCCAATCAGATGTGAGTGCTCCCTGACCTCTGAAATAAGACTCGATTTCCCCGCTCCACCAAAGAGCTGGTGGGCCAACTCAGATCTGGGGTCTTGGACCAACAGACTCCCGACAAAGTTAAAACTTAAGACTTATGCTTGAGACTAAAAGAACCTGAATTTCCTGGAGCCTCCCGCTGAGAAGCAGTCCTGTCTCTCAAAAGGGCCCAAGTAATTCTTTCAGAATGACTATAGTTCAACTAGACTGCTCTCCAGGGCTGAGGGTGTAGCTCAGTGGCAGCGCACCGGGCCTGTACCCAAAGCCTAGGACATGATCCACGGCACGGCAAGCTGAATCTGCCACAACGCGGAAAGTGCATATCCACAGGCACTCTGTTTTCATGGAGAGGGTGGGCAGGGGCATCTGATGGGTACCCAATGCTCCTCCTTGGGATCCGAGATAAGGAGGAGAGCAGGCCAAAAAACGCCCCTAGCTTCGAGCTTTTTTCTTAATGATATCCAACACCTGAGGGAGGGTGTGTGTGTGTCAGGTGGGCAACTTCAGAGCCACTTCCTGGAGTGAGAGAGCCGTGGATACCATGTCTCTTGCCTCCTGCAGCGATTTCCAAGGCGCCTCTCTCCTTCAGGCCCAGGGAGGCCATGTCCATCAATGCCCTATGCACCAGGTTTGGCTGAACGGGTCTGGAGAGAGAGTGACTTTGAGACTTTCAATTTGTGGCTTCTGAGTAGGGCCAAAAGGCTGTTCCAAGAAGTCCCGAGTCTACCATTTGTCCACCTCCAAAGATGAAAGCACCCCTCTCTGGGAAGACTGCTCCAGACAGAAGCCAGGCATCCCAGATACACGGCTCTGCTTGAAAACAATCTTCCCAACAAAGTCGCCAGCAGCCTCTCCTGTGGCCAGGGAGATGGGGTCACAGTGGCTACGGGAACAGGCATGCCCACGGCCAGTGCCAGGTACTAGAAGTTGGGTACCCCTTCCAGCTACAAAACCCGGAGAAGGACTGCTTGAGTCTGGGGATCCTTATTTACAAAATGAAAAATCAATGACTCGCTATCCTAGGCTGGGGTAAGTTTTCCCAAAGAGCGATCGGCCCCCATGGGGAGAAGAAAAACTATTCCCAAGTCCTGTGAGCTATTATGGTTGCACCAAGCTGTTTCCTAAGCGTTTGCACACACTCGATTTTCAAACACCCTTTACCCTGAGCATCTTTGGGGTGAACAGGGCAAAGAGCAAAGCGACAGTCCTCCTGGTCAACGGAGGACAACAAGGTCCGTGCAGGTCCGGGGAGACGACACACACGCACTCAAGGGAACCCAGTCCCCAAGCCCTCAAAGGAGCTTCACGTCCCCGCGCGCCTCGGGGAGACGGGGTCTGGGGTCGCCGCCTCTGGGACAGCTGGCGCCAGGGCTAAGAGTCACCACCTCCGAGACCCAGTCATCTTTTGTCCCCAGGAAAAAAAATACGCACGGCAGGACCCAAGGCCGAAGGAAATGAGCTCGGCGCGTGGAGACGCCACGCACACCGACAGCGCTGGGCCAGGCCGCGGCTGCGACGGGTGACACGGCAGTCCGAGTCCAGGGGACGCAGGCGGGGCGCGAGCCCGGGACCCTCTTGGCGCCCGCGGGGAGGGAAGAGGGGCGGCAGCCAGGGCATGTCGTCTCTGCTCACCTGGCCGCTGCGTTCTGCGCACCTGGCACAACCAGGCCCCAACAGCTCAGAACGGGGTTGTGGTCGCTTCTGCTCGGACAGGCCCGGCCCCCAAAGCGGCGGGCTGCGGCCAGGAACTCGCCTGCCGTCGCCACAGCGCCACCGCCGCCGCCTGTCACTCAAGCAAGCCCTCCGCTGCGCAGCTTGGAGTGGTCGGACCCGGCCGGCCGCGCCCCGCCTCCGCCCCCGCGGCTGTCCAATTGGAAACGCTTGATTTCAGGGAGGGGGCGTGGTCGCGGGCGGTGCGTCCTGAAGGCGGGGCCTGGCGGTGTAGGGGTGAATCAGGAGAGGCTGGTGCTCTGGCGTCACTGCTGCGCGCCGGAAGCGGCCCAGCCTCTGCGCTTTGCCGCGGCTGCTGCCCGGCGGCCTGAGGCCGCTATGCCGGTCACCGGGAAGACCTTCCGCCGGCGCCGGGCCGACTCTGAGTCGGAGGAAGATGAGCAAGATTCCGAGGAGGTCAGGTGAGTCTCGGACGGGGTATCACAGGCCAGGCAGAGAGAGACCGCCTTGGGGAGAGGCTGGCTAGTGCCCGGGTGCCTAGCTGACGCAATTAACTGCGAGCCGGGCTTCGCCATCCCTCAAAGGAATGGAGGCTGCTGGGGGTGAGGCCGCAGTGCCTCACTTCCAGGGATCCTGGGTCTCCTGCCTGCTCACTCTGAGTTCTGGGAGCTCAGCGTATGTGTGACCGTTTTTCAGATTGAAGCTGGAGGAGACCCGAGAGGTACAGAACTTGAGGAAGAGGCCCAACGGGGTGAGGTGGGTGCCGCGGGCAGCGCAGGGCCGGTGAGGACCGGGACGCGCCCCAGCTCAGATGGTGAGGGTGGGGACACACACGGTTCGGACCCGGCCCTTCCCGTGACCCACGTACACGTTCTGCTGCCCAAAGAGAACAGAACAAAACAAAACCAAAAAAACGTTCGTTGCACACGTTTAAATTCAAAGTACCCAGAGCCTTTGTTCTAGGGGCACAGGGACAGCTCACCAACTTGCCTTTTTATCGCACCCCTTTAATTGTGAAACACACGCTGTCAAGAGTTTGGAAAAGTGAGAAAAGAACCTGTTTCTTCTCTCTCCTTTGAACAGATTCTGAGCAGTTATGTGTGTACTTTTAGCCCTTCCTCTCCTCCCCCCCCCCCATTTATGACATTGTGGGTATTTAACCTGTATGGAACATTTTTCAGAAAATATTTGTTTGGTGGTGTTGACTCCAGGACCTCTGAACTGAACCGCATTGCCATTCCTTCCTTTTTAAATTTATTTTTTACTTTGAGACAGAACCTTGCTCATTGTGCAGGGCAGGTCCTCTCTCAGCCTCTCAGAGTTGTGGGATTCTTGGCATGTGGCACCCCCTTCCCCTCAGAAAACTTTTTCAATAGTTCTATAATATTCCGCCAGATGTAGGTGCTATAATTTGTTAATAAACCTTTGTAGATCATTTTATAAATTGCCACCATCCAGAAAGGCTGATGGTCTCTTACATTTGCCCTTTGCCACATTTATTTTTAGGCCATGATAATGTCCAGGGGGATTATGCGAAAGAGCGCTACTCGGCATCCTCCCCCCCCCCCCTTCAGCACCACATTGCCTGTTGAGCTGCCCTGTCTTGTTCTTGTGGTCCTCTCACACTGGCCCTCCCGGCATCCCTTCAGTCTCACCTTTGCACTGTGGTGCACTTTACAAACCACCTGCTGCTGCTCCTCATTGACTGAACTGCACCGTTTCTTTTTTCATTCTGCTCAGTGCTGCCGCCCTGCTGGTGGGGGAGAAGGTACAAGAAGAGACCACTCTAGTAGTAAGTTCCAGGTCCTCCCTGTAGCTGCTCCTCTGTGGATAATGGTGTTTTCTCGAACACCAATGGTAACCCCACTGCCCACGCCAGGATGCCACATCTAAGCTGTGTGTGTTTTTGCAGGATGACCCCTTCCAGATGAAGACAGGGGGCATGGTGGATATGAAGAAGCTGAAGGAAAGGGGCAAAGATAAGTAAGTGCAAGGCTGCTGAGACGCAGAGTCTGTGCAGCCTCTGCCTGGGTCTAAGCACCTCCGAGAGCTGGGACTGCAGCAGGACCTTTCAGAGAACATATGGAAGTAGGCTTCGAGCTTTGTAAAGACTATGTTGTTGAAAAATGGAAGGGTTTCCTGTCCAGCAAGTGGGAGGTCCTGAGTTCGAATCCCAGTTAAAAAATGGAAGGGTTGGCTGTAGCTCAGTGCTGAGGCACAGGACCAGTGTATGCAAGACCCTGGGTTTGAGCCCAGCACCACACACACACAAAGCCTCTTTAAAAGTTAGCTCAGCTAAGGGCCGGCCAGATAGCTCAGTGGGTTAAAGCGCCTGCTTAGGCAGATGCAGGGGTTGGAGGCTCAATCCCAAGCCTGCCATGCCAGCCCCGCCCCCAGGGTACACTGAGATAGTGATTGAGACTGGGCGTGGTGGCACGCGCCTGTAATCCCAGTGCTTCAGAGGCTGAAAACAGGCAGGATCACTACAAGTCCAATCTGTGTAGTGAGACCCTGTAGACCGTGTACTAAATACATTAAAAAAAAAAAAGTTAACTCAGATAGCTGGGTACCAGCACTGAGAGGCTGAGGCAGGAGGACTGCTACAAGTACAAGACTAGCCTGGGCTATAGAGCAAGATCCTGACTCCACAACAAAAGTTAGCTCAGAGCCAAGTGGCTAGATTTCTTTGCTAATAGTGCCTTATTCATTTCTTTCAAACCCATGGGAGGGGGTTTTATTGTTGGCACTGGGAATTGAACTAGGACCTTGAGCTGCCAGACAGGTGCTGCACTGCTTGGCTGTATCCCTGGCCCCAGGAGCTTTACATTTAACACTTACAAACATAGTCCAAATGTTACAAAAGTTTAAAAAAATAAAAGTATCCCCTCCTTCCCCAGAGATGTCACCAGGGAGCACCTGCTCATTTGCTGGAGTTCCTAGAGTTTTTAGCAGCCATGGACAGGATGTTACGCTTTTTCTCCAGCCTTTGTTTCAGTCTCATGATGTAAAAGTCACCACCGTCTCCTTTCAGGATCAGCGAGGAGGAGGACCTGCACTTAGGGACATCATTTTCCGCGGAAACCAACCGGAGGGACGAGGATGCAGACATGTAGGTGCCGGGCACTCGGCTATGGGTGGTGGAGGCTGGCTGGTGAGATAGGTGGTCTGAGAGGTTTGTCATGGATGACATTCCTAGAACTCTCTAGAAGATGTCACCCTGCCCCTTGGGCTTGACAACTTTGCAAACTTCTTAAGAGTTCTTTTGGAGCTGGAGAGATGGCTCAGTGGAATAAGCACTTCCCTGGCAAGCACAAGGGTCTGAGTTCAATCCCTGGTTCCGCCAGAAGGAAAAAAAAAAAAAAGAGTTCTGTAGCCAGGGATAGTGGTATATTCCTGTAATTCTGGTTACTCAGGAGGCTGAGGCAGGAGGATCACTTGAATCCAGAAGTTTGAGGCCACCCTGGGTGACATAGCTAGATCTTATCTTGAAGAAAAGAAAAAGACAACTCGTTAAAATAGTGGTGGTCTGGATTTGAAAGTTCCTCAACTAGTCATATTTCTCCCCTAAACATTACAGGGATAAACATGGACTTGCTAACTTCTTCTTTGGCCAACAAGACTTTTAAAATAACTCCCTCCAGATGCGGTGACTCATTTCTGTACTGCCAGCACTGGGGAGGTTGAGGCAGGAGGATTGCTTTGGGTGTGAGGCCAGCCTGGTCTACAGTAAGATCCTAGCTCAGAAGCCCAAGGAAGGCTAAAGGACTCTGGTTCTCTGGGTGCTGCCGCTCCACGGAGTGCGGCCACGTCCTCGTGGGCTGAGTGGGTGCTGGCACCTCCATTCGCAGGATGAAGTACATCGAGACAGAGCTGAAGAAGAGGAAGGGTATCGTGGAGCACGAGGAGCAGAAGGCAAAGCCCAAGAACGCGGAGGACTGTCTGTACGAGCTCCCCGAGAGCATCCGCGTGTCGTCGGCCAAGAAGACGGAGGAGATGCTCTCCAACCAGATGCTGAGCGGCATCCCCGAGGTGGACCTGGGCATCGAGTGCGTGCAGGCCCCTGGGACCCTGGGTTGTCACTTGGGGGTGGGGTCAGGTTGGCTGCAGCTTGACAGTCACAAGGACCCCCCAGAAGCAAAAGCTTTCCTTAGCCCTTGCTCTCCGAGCCCCAGGAGTCCTCTGTGCTTCTGGTGTCCCCACAGGAGCCTGCTCTGCTCACCCCTCTCCCCGGGTCCCCCTGCACTAACTGAAGCTCCTGCTTCCAGGGGAACACCAGCGTGATGGCTGGTGCGCTCTGTGCGTCTGGCCAGGGTCGCTGGATGCTTGCCTCTCTTCTGGACCGGGAAGCTCACGTCTCTTGCTGGTGCTTGATTTCTGGCCCCGAAAGGGGAACAGCTCATGCTCTATCCCTGCTGTGAGCCCCGTTGAGAGCGTGACTCAGCTGGGCGAGGTGGTGCCCACCATCATCCTGGCACTCAGGAGGCTGAGGCAGGAAGATCACCTGGAGCTCCAGGCCAGCCTGGGCTACATCGTGAACGCTGTCTCAAAACACAAAGTGGGGCTGGTCAAATAGCTCAGCGGACTAAAGCGGCCGGGGGTTCAATCCCCAGGCCTGCTGTGCTGCCCCGTCCCCGGGGCGTGCTGAGACAGCAATTGAGACTGGGTGTGGTGGCACACACGTGTAATCCCAGCTCTTGGGAGGCTAGAAACAGCAGGATCACTACGAGGCTGATCTAGTTAGTAGTGAAACCCTGAGCACCCTGTAGACCCTTCCCTAAAAATACAAAAAAAAAACCAAAAAAAACCCACAAAGCGACCACACAGGAGCCCGGCACAGCTGTGCTAGGTCAGTCCCTCAGGCGGCACAGGGCCATCAGCTCCGCCTGGGTGAAGGGTGTGGTGATCTAATAGGGGTGCACCTCCTTTCTGCCTGCAGCGCTAAAATCAAAAACATCATCTCCACGGAGGACGCTAAGGCCCGCCTGCTGGCAGAGCAGCAGAACAAGAAGAAAGACAGCGAGACGTCCTTCGTGCCCACCAACATGGCTGTGAACTACGTGCAGCATAACCGATGTATGCCAGCCCCGCCCCGCCCTGCCCGCACCTGGCAGAGGGCGGAAACCCCACCATGTCTGACCCGTTCCCTTCGCTTTCGCTTTAGTTTATCACGAGGAGCTCAATGCCCCCATCCGGAGGAACAAAGACGAGCCCAAGGCCCGGCCCTTGCGAGTGGGCGACACAGAGAAGCCAGAGCCAGAGCGTGAGTGTGGCCAGGCCTGGGCTGTGGGTGCGAGGGGGGGCGTGTGCATCTCAACCCCTGCTCCTGACCCTGTCACCCCTGCCGCCTTTCTGAGCCTCGCTTTCCTAGCTCATGGGATGGGTGTTAGCAGCATCGCTTTGAGTTCAAGGCCAGCCTGGGCTACCTAGCATGATCCTGCCTCAAAAAAATAAAATAAAAACTAACTGTTGTAGATAAAAGTTGCTCATAAGATGACAGCTGTTTCCCGAGGCCCTCTCCTGTCCTGCACGGGCCTGGTTGGGGCCTTCATAGGGGCTGAGACAGCCTGGCCCCTGCCTTTGCGAGGTCTTGAGGCAGGTTCCAGCAGGGGGACAGCCTGGCCTGGCCTTCTGTCCTCCTCAGGGTCCCCACCTAACCGCAAGCGTCCCGCTAACGAGAAGGCCACCGACGACTACCACTATGAGAAGTTCAAGAAGATGAACAGGCGGTACTGACTGCTACAAGGATGAGCATGCCCCCCACCGCCACCTGCTGGGGCGTCACACGGCTGCGGGACCGCTGTCAGCAAGACTGGAGCCTTCTCATCGATGGCAAACTCATTTTATAAGCAGTAGTAAAGTTTGTTTGTAAATACTTTCTGTCAGCTTGCTCTGGAAGAACAAGCTGGAAGCAGCGCCACGGACGCGGCACCACGGCCCCCTTGAGGTCATGCCTGTATGGCTGCGTCTGCAGAGGCGCCCCCGCCGCGGGTGGGCCCAATCCTAGCACTCTGCCCTGCAGCCGGGGGTCTCGAGTTTGAGCGCAGCCTCGACATGTTAGCCAGACCCGGTCTCAGATAAGGGTGGGGACGAAACCCACACAAAGGCTGTGGGCTCCATCCCGTGACTCCAAGAAGCTTCTGTTGCGCAGCGCGGGTGCAACAGGCAGCAGGCAAGGCCAGGGCGGCATCAGGGACACCGGGATGTTCTGACTTGCACAAAGCTCCATTTCATTAAAAGGATAAAGGAATATTTCCTTCCCACTTTTAAGAACTTAATTATTAAATACAAATCGAATCCAGCCTCCTTGTTTGAATCATGTTCATGCCGCCACCACAGCCGGGTGGTTTCCGGTGAACGCAGACTGGAGGACTGCGGGCCGCGCCCTCTTCCACGGGTGGGCGGGTTCTGCTCCACCGGGCTGGGGAAGGGGCGCACGGGGACCTCTGTGCATGCGGGGTGCAGCCATGAACTGGAACTTGGGCCACCAGCTGGCGAGAGTGGCCGTGGCCCGCAGAGGGTAGAGCCTTCTCACAGGTGGGCTGGGAATTACAGATGAGCAAGGCAGGAGGCTTGAATAATCTGTGGATATTCAAGATTATGAGCTGGAGACGTCAGTGGAAGACATGTCTGGCATAGTGGAGCTACAGGCAGTTACGTATAAAAAGGCTCCGGGGTGTGTGTGCACATTCGCTGTCAGCCTGAAATGACACCTCTGCAGCAGCAGGGAGCACGCAGCACTTCCTGTTCTCCAACTCAGGGATGCAGGGCTCCGAGGGCAGATGACTGATCGTAGAGCCCGGCCATCCTTAGCGCTGGGAAGTAAGGACGTGCTGAGAACAAGCCCCCGTAAGCAGATGTCTGTACATGTTAGGTGTGTGTCAGAGGAGCATGGGGGACACCAGCCGACATGCCCGCGGGCGAAAAAAAACAAGATGGCCCAGAAATGGGTGGGGTGGGTTACAACCCAAAGTATAAAATTCCCAGTGGGCCATGGTGGTGGGGATGACTGAATAGCCCGAGAAGACTCTTTCACGCAGAACAGCTACTCCCGTTTCTACAGCTACTCTGCCCTTGGTGAGGTGAAGTGAGGCTCCCCACTCCCTGGAGGGGGCCTTGCACGCTGTCGCTATCAACCAGACCATACTGACAACAGGTACCAAGTATGACGTGAAGCAACAGTGCCTCAGAGCCTCTTTCCCAGCCCGTAATTGGTCTAACGTGACAAAAACGCAAGTTCCAACTGATAGGCATCCTACAAACGATTTAAGCGGCTGGGAATGTAGCAATAGTGGTTCATTCATTGTAACAAATGTAGCATACTTATATAAGATTTTAATAGGGAAACTGAGGATGGTCTCTGGCTACCTTCTGCATTACCTTCTCAACTTTTCTGTAACCTAAAACTGCTTTAAAAAGTCTTAGTTCAAAACAAAACATGATCGATCATCCACAGATTGCCACAATCAACTTCATGGGGGGGGGTAAGCTCTGCCCCTAACAAAGATGGCGCTCTCCGAGGTCAGGAGGAGGCCTGCCCAGAACAAAGAGGGCGGCCACGACGGGGCGGAACCGGAAGCGCGCGTCGGACGGAGCGCGGGCCGCTGGCGGCACAGGAGCGCGCTGCGGCGCGAGTCCGGGCATGAAGCTGGGCCGGGCCGCGCTGGGCCTGCTGCTGCTGGCGCCGTGCGTGGTGCGCGCAGTGGAGCCCATCAGCCTGGGGCTCGCGCTGGCCGGCGTGCTCACCGGCTACATCTCCTATCCGCGTCTCTACTGCTTCTTCGCCGAGTGCTGTGGCCAGAGGCGGAGCCTGAGCCGGGAGGGTAAGTAGAGGCAGGACCGGGTGGGGCTGGCGGACCACGGAAGCGGGGCGGCACGGCCGGAGACGGGCCCTGGCGCGGTGACCACGACCGCAGCCCGGCCGGACTTTGGCCCAGGCTGCGAGCTGCGCGGAGGGGAAGCGGTTGCGACCTCCGCGAGAGCTCCGCCTCCCCGGGGGTGGGGACCCCTTCCGGTGCACCCCGGGGTGCAGAGTGGTGGCTCGGAAGGAGCATTGCCTGGGCTGAGTTTTGTGAGCCGAGCCGTGTCCCCGTCTGACCGGCCCTGCCCTTCCCAGCACTGCAGAAGGACCTAGACAGCAAGCTCTTCGGACAGCATCTTGCAAAGAAGGTCGTCCTGAACGCTGTGGCCGGTTTCCTGAGCAACCCGAAGCCCAAGAAGCCCCTGACCCTCTCGCTGCACGGGTGGACGGGCACTGGCAAGAATTTCGTCAGCAAGATCATCGCGGAGAACATTTACGAGGGCGGGCTCAACAGTGACTATGTGCACCTGTTCGTGGCCACGCTGCACTTCCCGCACGCGGCCAACGTCACCCTGTATAAGGCAAGCGCAGGAATGTGGAACACTTCCGGGAGGAGGACAGAGGGGTTCGGGCAGCTTGGATGAGGGATGGGATTTGACACCACGGTTTTGAAGGGAGTGAGCCTCACAGTGGCTCTGTGTGTCACTTGCCCTTTATATTTTGTTTTACTCTTTTGAGGCAGGCTCTTACTGCAGAGCCCAGGCTGGTCCTCCACGCATAGAGATCCTCCCGCCTCAGTCTCTCAAATGTTGGGATTACATATGCCAGCTCCCTGACATTAATTCCTCTTTGAAATGTGTGCATCTTACAGAGGATTTGATATCTGTACAGCAGAGATTCCCTCAGACTTGTGGCAGCTGGGCGTGGTGGTGCATGCTTGTTATCCCAGCACTCGGGAGGCTGAGGTAGGAGGATCCTTGCAAGTTCAAGGCCAGCCTGGCCTACAAAGTGAGCTCAAGGCCAGCCTGAGCTGCACTGTGAAACCCTGTCTGAAAAAATACAAAGAAAAAAAAAAAAACTTGTGGCAGTTTCTGAAACTAAGCCCAATGACACGTAGCTATTTAGCAAGTGAGTTGGACATGATCAGGTCCAGGGTTGGTGGCACATTTAGGAAGCTAAGGCAAGAGGCCTCGAGTTCATGGCCAGCCTGAGCTATAGGGTGAATCAAGGCTGCAACACTGTCCAAAACAGAAAAAAAAAAATTCATTTTGTGAAAGAGGAAGCGTTTCTAGAGGCCTCAGTGTGCTACGATTGAACTTTTTTTTTTTTTTTGCGTAATCGGGGCTCGAACTCAGGCCCTTGCGCTTGCCAGGGAAGCGCTTATTCCACTGAGCCATCTCCCCAGCCCCTGATTAAACTACTGCAGACTGCCCTTGCATGTAGCCTGCTGAGTGACAGCCCAGGCTGTGGCAGCAGGCACACCTGGATTTGGGGCCTGACTCCAGAACCAGCTGTGCAGCCTTGGAGACGGTGCCTGACCTCTGAGGAGCAGGTTTGCAGGGGGAAACGGTGCGCTAAGAGCCGACTGAGGTGGCTGTGGCTCCGGCCACCCAGCGCCTGCTCCCTGCAGCTCCCGGGGTGCGCCTTTTCCTGGCAGGGACTGGGAAGGTCCTAGACAGCCAGGGGCGAATCGGTCATTAGGAATGAGGTCCGCCAGCGTGGTGTGTGTCTTGGGGCAGGCTGCTTAACCTCTCGTCACCTGAATTTTTTCATCTGTCCGAAAAGGAGCACTGAGTATATTATTCCCTAGATGGCTTTTTTTGTTTGGTTTTCTGAAGCGGTCTTGCTAGGTAGCCCAGGCTGGTCTCAGACTTGCAGCAGTCCTCCTGCCTCAGCCTCCGGAATGCTGGGGTTACAGGTGTGCCCTGCCATGCCTGACTTCCCTGGATTGGAGAGCTGCAGTGCCGGTGGAGCGTGGGCTGCTGTCCCGCCCTGACGGCCCCACATGCATGTCCTGTGTCCCCGATGGGCGCTGGCAGGCTGCGAAGTGCCCGGCCCTCCAAGTGTAGCCAGCCGGGGAAGGCCCTGCGTGAGCCGTGACTCATCCCGAGGCCCCAGCCTGGTGCTCTGGCTCTCTGAGCTCCCTGCGTCGCTGCTTCGAGCACCACTGCCGCTCAGTCAGTCCTAGCACAGATCTTCGCGGCCGTGATCACAGCAGCCTCTGAGCATCGCAAACACAGGTCCACGCCGTGACCCAGACTCCTTTTAGAACGTAACTCATTGCTCCGCCCCAGCGTGAGGGAGGAGAGCAATGGCAGGGCTCCAGAGGGTCTGCTTTTTCCCTGCATTGCAAGTGTCCTGAATTACTGTGAGCCAGGCCTGGTGGCACACAGCTGGAATCCCCCACCCTCCAGGAGGCTGAGGCAAGACGAGCTTGAGTTTGAGCCTGGCCTGCGTACTTACTAATTTAGCAAGATTCTCTCTTAAAAGAAAGAGCTGGGGCCAGGGAGATGGCTCAGTAGAATAAGCGCTTGCCTGGCAAGCACAAGGGCCTGAGTTCAATTCCCAGTTCTGCCAAAAAAAAAAAGAGAAAGAAACAGAAAACTGAGGGCCAGCCAAATAGCTCAGTGGATTAAAGAGCCTGCAAGTGGGCACAGGGGCTGAGGGTTCGATCCCCAGGCCTGCTGCGTCAGCCCCACCCCCTGGGGTGTGCTGAGACAGCAATTGAGACTGGGCGTGATGGCGCGCCTATAATCCCAGCTCTTAGGAGGCTGTAAACAAGTGGATCACTACAAATCTGATCTAGTAGTGAGACCCTGAACACCTTGTAGACCCTTCCCTGAAAATACAAAAGAAAAAGACAACAAACTGAAAAAGTAGCTGGGGATGTAGCTCAGTGTGAAGGCCCTGGGTGCAGTGCCCAGGACTGCTGGAGAGAAGTGAAGAGAAGGACCTGGGCTGGGACCGTGGCCTGTGGTGCTGTCTGCCTAGCATGTTGAGCAACAACAAAGTGCCAAAATCCATTCTCACAGAATGTACCACAGGTGTAGCAGAAAGTGGGAGTGGGGCTCCGAGAGAGCTCCTATTTGCCCTGCAGAGGCCCTGACTGCCATGCCCAGTGCTGCCAAAAAGAAGAAAGTCCACGTCACGCTTGCCTGGAGCTCTGACTTGCTTTTCACTCATCACGCAGGATCAGTTACAGCAGTGGATCCGAGGCAACGTGAGCGCCTGCGCAAGGTCTATCTTCATCTTCGATGAGATGGACAAGATGCACGCCGGCCTCATCGATGCCATCAAGCCCTTCCTGGACTACTACGACGTGGTGGACGAGGTCTCCTACCAGAAGGCCATCTTCATCTTCCTCAGGTGAGCAGGCGGGGCTGCCGCGGCACTGCCAGGCTGAGCTCTGGGTGAGCCTCTGTGGCTATGTCTTGCAGCAACGCGGGGGCTGAGCGCATCACTGACGTGGCGCTCGATTTCTGGAGGAGTGGGCGAAGCAGGGAAGACATCCAGCTCAAGGACATGGAGCAGGCCCTGTCCGTGGCGGTCTTCAACAACCGGAACAGTAAGTGGGCCCTGCGCCTGCATCCCAGGTCCCCAGTTCGGGGGAGATAGAAATTGTCCCTAGCTGCAACCCTGAAAGCCGGGCATGGTGGCGCATGCCTGTCATCCTGCATTCAGAGGCTGAGGCAGAAGGGTCGCTGTGAGCCCCAGCCCCGCCTGGGCTACGTACCAGATCCTGTCTCAGAAAAATGCGGGCAGCTGTACTTGATGCAGTCTTACAGACGAGGACTCCACGCTCAGAGAAGGCAGCGGCCTCCCTGGGCCACACAGCCTGTGAGGTGTCAGAGACCCCAGAAGCTGAGTGTCTCCTGGAGCGTCCCCCAGGCGATGCCACCTCTGCCTGAGTCCTGGGAGGTGGAGCCGGGGTGGGGCTGAGGAGGGCAACCAGGAGGCTGAGCTTTGAGTTGTTTTCGCTTTTTGTTTGGGTGGCACTGGGGACAGAGCCCAGGGCTCGAGGGTCAGTCCAGAGCCCCACTCCTGGGGGCAACAGCATGTGTTCAGGTTGTCACCACAGGGAATCTGCTTCTGGTCCCTGACGCTCCTGGCAGGGGCTGTGAGTTTCCACCCACTTCCGGCTGAGCTGTCAAACCTGCAGTCAGGGGCCTGGCCTGGACCTGGCCGCCTTCATGCGCTCCACTGCCTGCCTGGGGGTCACCTCCTCCCCTTAGCCTCTCCCAGGTCCCGACCCACACAGCCTGGCCTGTGACCTGTCCCAGCTTCCTGGCTCAGTCACACTTCCAGGCCTCCCTAAGGATGAAAAGAAGTGTTCCTTTCCACTGCTGTGGCACCTTGGCCTTGCCACCGGGGCAGGGTTACTGCCTGTCACTGGGGGAGAGCGGGCTCCCTGTAATCATCTGCCTCATCATCGTGGGCCTGGTGGCACGTCGGGTGGGTGGGTGGACAGATACGGACAGTCGGACGGGCGGGCAAGAGGATGGACGGCCAGACGGATGTGTGGGTGGAAGGGTGGATGGACAGACGACGAGGTGGGGGCGTCCAGCCAGTGCCTCTGCTGTTTCCCAGGTGGCTTCTGGCACAGCAGCCTCATCGACCGGAACCTCATCGACTACTTTGTCCCCTTCCTCCCCCTGGAGTACAAACACCTCAAGATGTGCATTCGCGTGGAGATGGAGTCCCGAGGCTATGAGATCGACGAGGACATCGTAGCCAGGGTGGCCGACGAGATGACATTTTTCCCCAAGGAGGAAAGAGTATTCTCTGACAAGGGTTGCAAAACTGTGTTCACCAAGTTGGATTATTACCTCGATGACTGACGGCCCCGGGGCAGCTCTCCCCTCTGCTCCCGCAGCCACGGCCGGGCCAGGCTCCCGGCGCTGTCCCTGGCAGATGGGACGCACTTCTGGATGCTGCCTTCATCTGCGGAGGCCGCTGGCACCCACCCCTTAGTGATCATGAACACAGATGAAAACTTCCAGGACCTTCCAAGAGGAAGTGGACAGCCCCCAGCCCACGCCTTCCAGGGCTCATGAATTTTTTAAAAGTACATGTTAAGCCCTGTGTGGTGGTGCACGCCTGCCTCATCCCAGCACTTGGGAGGCTGAGGCAGGAGGATCACTGTGAGTTGGAAGCCAGCCCAGGCTGCATGGGGAGTTCCAGGCCAGCCTGAACTACATAAGGAGACCTTGTCTCAAAAAAAAGGAAAATTATGTTTTAATTTCACATGTTTGTTTCAAGGAAGAAAGTTTTACTGGAAATAAGATGGCTTTATTTAATAAGGTTTTTAACATCCTGAGAAACTTCAGATTCTAAATTATTAAGGTTTGTGTGTGTTAAGTTCCTGCCTCAGCCTCCCACGTGCTTGGATGCCAGGCGTGTGGTGCCAGGCCAGCTCCAGCACAGAGCGCTGCAGTAGCGGCACTGCAGCCCTGGCCACCCTACGCCCAGCGAGGGCCTCTGCCACCTCATCCAGTGACCCCCAACACACCGGAATGGCTGTGTGGCCTCGACAGTTGCCTGGTTTCTCACTAGCGTTACGTTAAAGCAGGGATTCCCAAACCTAGGACAGCCTGAGTGCCCCTTCTGAGGGGACCATGAGCAGGGGCTGCTGGCCCTACCTGTTCATGGAGACAGTGCTGGGGTGGAGCGCAGGGTCTGTCCTCCGCACGCCAGCCCCAGGCCTTTTGCTGGATTTAGCTGCCCCAACTGGCCCTGCCTCCCAGGGGGCTGGGATTACAGGTGTGTGCTACTACATCCAGGTCCAAGAACAGTATAATTTATAAGGGAAACAGCTACCGTGGTATGCACTGCTGCGGGTTCATTGTGTGTGTGTGCCAGGGGCGGAACCCAGGGCTCGTGTGCTAGATGAGGACCCTGTCACCTGTATCCCAGCCCTCCATCTTTGAGTTCAGGCCCTGCGCTACCTCCTCCGCCCCAGTCTTCCATCTTTTTGAGACAGGATCTAAGTTGCCCAGGCTGACCTGAAAATCATGCCCCTCCTTTGTCAGCTTCCAGAGTGTTGGGTGTTGGATAGATGAGTGTATATTTTAAATATAACACCCCGACCACAGCGCAAGGAGCGCAGGCAGCACCAAGGGGGTCCTAGTTGGATGAAGTAGGTTTTGACTGGGGCCTTAGGCCAGCTCTGGCCCCTCTCCTCCGAGCACAGGCTTGCGGCACCACTGTGGAGTTCAGGACCAGTGGAGTGGCCAGGCAGCTGTACAGAGCTAAGGGAAACTAATTTTTTTTTTTAATTGGCCTTAGCTTCGCTCTGTAACCCACGGTGGCCTGGAACTCCCAGTAGTCCTCCTGTCTCAGCCTCTGGAGTGCTGGGCTTACAGGTAGTGCACCACAGTGCCAGCTGGCCTGAGCTCAGTCTGCTACCAAATAAATTCCCGGGGAAGAAGGCAAGTGACACCTCACAACATTAACATTTAGGTTTTATTACTCTGAAGTCACTGTGTCAGCCCAAGCTCCTGGCCGTGTCTCACCTGGGGCGGGCTGAGGCGGGACCAACACAGCCCTCGTCCAAAGGTAACCAACACGCGTCAAGTTAGTTGCGTCACCTTGTCACAGTAAACATCCCGGCTCAACACCAGACACTCAGGTTATAAAGGTAACTGCTCCAATGAGACTGAATCCTAAAATGGCAAGTGTGGCAGGATTTCACCAAGTAGTTCTGCCTGGCTTTTGAACTGGCAGTCCTGCTGCTGGGATCACGGGCTACAGGTGTGCACCACCACGCCAATTCACCTTGGCTTTTTTTTTTTTGGCGTCAAGGATCAAACTCAGGACCTTGTGCTTACCAGGCAGGTACCTATGCCACTGAGCTATCTCCTCAGCCCCACTTCACATTTTTAAAAGGCTGAGCGTGATGCACTCAAAAGGTTTTCTATGGAAGAAAGTCCCCTCCTGCCACACTGCACCTGGCACTAATGTGGCATCACAATTGTGCTGCAAACTGCATGGCACAGGAGGACCCACGCGGCCTGCAGCAAAGCCTTCTGTCCCTGTGGCTGGGGCAGGGTGGCCTGGACCTGTCCTTGGGACAGTGACCATACATACTTTAACAGTGAAAACTCACACCATCAGGCCAGGGAGATAGCTCAGTAGAATAAGCGCTTGCCTGGCAAGCGCAGGGTCCTGAGTTCAATCCCCAACAGCGCAAAAAAAACAAAACAAACCTCACACCATTGTGTAACACCTAAGCAGAGAAGCAATGACTTTAAAATCCTGCAGCCTCCGCTGAGCACTGCCCACGCCTGTCATCCCAGCACTCACGAGGCCGAGGCAGGAGACCTGCCAAGAGCTGAGGCCAGCCCGCCTGGGCTACGTAGTGAGACCTTACTGCACAAAGCCCAAGGGGAAGGGCTGTGGCTCAGCAGTACAATGTACCTAGTAAGCAAGAGGCCGGGTTTGATGTCCTGTTCCAAAAAACCCAAAATTAAAAGCAATCTTTTCTAGGATGAGTAAAAACATTATAAAAATAAAAATATCCCTAATAATTCGGGCATCTTGGAGTGTACACAGGCTGGGCTCACACTTGCCCTGCCTAAGCCAACAAGTTCTGGGCTGACAGGCGTGCGCCACCAGGCCAGTGACGACCCAGGCTCCCAGCAGCGCTGCAGGGCTGAGCTGGACCAAGTTCTAGTGTAACAGACAAGGTTGTTGCCACGGCACCAGGCTCCCGTGGTCCAATGGGGCTGTGGCGAGGATGGGGCCTGGATCTAGTAGTGACTGATCGGAATGGGATGGGGATGAGGGGACCATGGCCAGGGCTGTCAGGTGCTGCAGCACAACCCAAGCTCCTACGTGTCCTGCTCTGTGGGGACCAAGAGGCCACAGATGCCCCGTGCCACATCTTCACGGGCCCTCTGCACCCCCACCAGTGCCAAGTGCCGCAAGAAACACTTGAGTTGGTGAAGGTTCTTTGTGCAAAGCAGCAGCAGGCTGGGAGCATCCCTGGCAGGTGGCACAGGACGCTCCTTGGGGTGCCAGGGACCCCAAAAGTCCTAGCAGTGGTTTCCCAGGCCACACACAATGGCTGTTTTAAGGCACTGGGTGAAGGTGGCAGTAGAGAATGACAAGGACTTTTAACTCCATGCTGGAGTGCAGGTGCAGGCTGCCTGCCTCCCACAGTTCAGGCGACAGATTAGGATCTCAACTCGGGACCCCGAGGTACCCAAAGTCCCCAGGTGCAAATGCGCAGACCCCACAGGGTCTTCATAGTGCTTCCTTGAGACCGAGCCGGCTCAGTAGAAATCCAGCCGGGACTGCACAGTCTTGCAGCCCTTGTCAGAGTAGATCATCTCATCCTTGGGAAAGAAGGTCATCTCCTGTGCCACCTTGGTGACCACGTCCTCGTCCACCGTGACACCACGGGCCTGCAGCTCTGCGCGCACGCACATCTGCACATGCCTGTACTCCAGGGGCAGGAAGGGGATGAAGTAGTCGACGAGGTTCCTGTCTATCAGGCCACTGTGCCACAGGCCACCTGCCAATGAGACACGGGGGGTTTCTTGCCTGCCCTGCTCCCCGGCCACGTGCTACCTCCAATCCCTGCCTTCAGGACACTGGCTGCCCCCCCAAGACGTGGTGGCGAGTGTGTAACGAGAGTGGCGCCTGTCTCTGCTGGACACCCCACTAGGCCCAAGGGACACCCAAGGAAGGCATGCCCTGCTGGGAGCTGGGTGTGGTGGGCACAGCTATCTTCCCAGTGCTTGGAAGATGAGGCACGAGGATCTCGTACACAAGCCCAACAATGAGACTCTAGAAACCAAAGACAGGCAGGCAGTGCCCTGCTAGAGCGCCGGGGAACTCACTGTGCTTGTTGTTGAAGACACCCAAAGACAGCACAGGCTCCAGGTCCTTTAACTGGATCTCCTCCCTCTTCCTCCCTGCACGCCAGAAGTCCAGTGCCGTCCTGGTAATGAGGTCCCCACCGGCATTGCTGGGTTGAGCGGAGAAGCAAGACCCACGTCACATGCGGAGACTCCTGTGCTTCACCGGGACGCGCACTGGTGCCCTGCCCTGAGCTTTCTCCACTGCTATAGAACTGGGACAGAACCCAGGGCTCTGCTCCAAGCTCTACCCCAGCACTTCGTAGCTTTCACTCTGACACAGGACCTCAGGAGTCACTAATTGACCAAGCGGGGTTCAAACTTGTGATCCTCCTGCCTCAGCCTCTCCAAGAGCTGGAATGACAGGTATGCACCACCACAACCAACATTTTAAAAATCTTTCTGGCCTGGCACACACCTGTCATCTCAGCAGTTGGGAAGCAGAGGCAGGAGGAGCCCCACAAGCTGAGGCGAGCCTGGGCTCCATAATGAATAAAAGACCAGTCTGGACTACATTGTTGTGACTTGCAGTCACTGGGTCCCCTGTCCTCACAAGCCCCTCACTGACCTGAGGAAGATGAAGATGGCCTTGCGGTAGGACACCCCATCCACTTGCTCATAGTAGTCGAGAAAGGGTTTGATGGCATCGATGATCCCGGGGTGCAGCTTGTCCATCTCATCGAAGATGAACACTGAGCTGGCGCACGCGCTCACGTTCCCACGGATCCACTTCTGCAGCTGGTCCTGGAGCCCGCCAGAGAGAGAGGGGGCCGCTCAGAACACACGGCGCTGCAAGAGTGCCAGGGCCCAGCTCTGGGAGCTCCCAGACCTGCACCCTCACCTCTTCCACTACTCGCTGGGTAACAGCTTTTATCAGAAGTGGAAACTGGCCAGGTGTGGTGGCGCATACCTGTCATCCCAGCACTCGCGAAGCAGAGGCAGGACAATTGCCAAGAGTTCGAGGCCAGCTTGGGCTACACAGTGAGTCCAAGGCAACCTGAACTTCACAGTGAGACCCTATCTCAAAAACAAAATAAAGGTGTAGGAGGCGCAAGACTGGCATCTCCAGTTACAGCTGCCCAGTACCCTGAAGAATGAGGATCCGAGGCTCCTGGATGGGGGCCCTGAACAAAGCAGCTAACCCTGGCGACACTTCCACAAGAGCGTGCGGCCGGACCCCAGGGCCTTACACACACCCGGGAAGCCTCATCATTGAGCTGCAGTGTGAGTGTCCCCAAGCAACAAGCTCTCGACTCCAAAGCGTCACGGCCACGACCGCAGGATCCCCCTGCACCTCCGTCTATCTTACAGAACTTCCAAAGCTGTATCCTCTTTCCCATGCGGCCTCACTCTGCAGTCCTGAGTGGGTAGACCTCAAGAGCCTCCTGCTCAGCCTCCCAAGGGCCGGGCTGACTGATTTACACCACCTCACCCGGTTCTGTGAGAACTTTTTGTCTTTTGCCCTTCTTCCCTGTCTTAACAGTTTGGAAGGTAAAAGCTTTCACTTCTGTGTACAGTGAAGTTTTTAGTTCTCATTTCCTCCTGCCTAACAACGGGAACATTAACCTTTTCTTGCACCAGGAACCAAACTCAGGACCTTGCGCTTGCCAGGCGGGCACTGTGCGAACCTTGACAAGGGCTGCAGCAGCCAGGGTGGAACAAGCTGCAGCAGAAGCAGGCAGGTTTCAGTTCTTTGAAGAGTTAATGAAAGGAATGCCAAGGACTTGAAGGACAGGAGGGACAGAGGAGGATGAAAAACCCTCCAGTCTCCTTGCAAATGCAGAGGCAAAGGTGGGGCTGCACCATGGGGTGCAATCCAACCCCCAACACCAGGGCCCTGTTGCAAATGCTGGCCACAGTATCCAGTCACTGCACAGCTCTCCTACCAGGTTACAAATTGAACCAGGTTACAAATCGAACGCTAGGAGTTCTGAGATCCAGCGTGCTCCGCCAGAGGACACAGATTCTAAGGTGCAATCTGGGCTCTTTTTTTTGAGACAAGGTCTCATTTTGTCATTCTGGTTGTCCTTAAACTCACTGCGACCCTCCTGCCTCAGGCCCTAGTGCTGGGACCAAAGGAAGGTGCCACTATGCCCTGCTTCTGGCTTTTCTTTAAATGTATTTAATACAGGGTCTACAGAGTTTTACTACACAGATTGGACTCGCAGTAATCCTGTTTTCAGCCCCCCAAGCGGTGGGATTACTGGCACCATGCCACAACACCCAGTCTCAATCGAGGACAGTCTCAGCGTGCCCCCAGGGGCAGGGCCAGCACGGCCCGCCAGGAATCAAAGCCCGGTCTCTGCTCTGCCTAAGCAGGTGCTTTAATCCCCTGAGCTATCTGGCTGGCCCTCTGGCTCCATTTTTCAATGAAAATACCCTCTGGATTATTTTGCAATTATAAAGAGAAATCCTGTAGAAGAGCTCTCTATCCATCCGGTGCCAGCACACCTTTTTGAAATAACGACACCCCAGCAACAAACTAACCACCCCAAAACGCGAAAGGCCAGGACCACGGAGCCCGTCCCTGGAAGCACCTTCATCTGTTCATCTTCCAAGCCATTTCGGCCAGAGCTGGAAAGCAGGCTGGGCAGAGGGGCTGCAGCAATGCAAAGGAGAGAAGCAGAGGCCAGAGCTAGCGAGTGTCCTGCGACAGGGGACAGTGGGGTCTCTTGCCTGGTACAGTTTGATCTTCTGCTCGTGGGGGAAGTGCAGGGTCGACACGTACAGGTGGACGAAGTTACTCTTCAGGCCTCGAGGGTGCAGATTCTCGGCTATGATCTGACTGACATAGTTCTTGCCTGTGCCGGCCCAGCCGTGCAAGGACAGGGTGAGAGGTTTCTTGGGGTTCTTGTTGCTCTTAAAGCCCACCAGCGCCTTGAGAATCACTTCCGTGGCCAGATGCTGTCCAAACAGCTTCTCCTCCAAATCCTGCTTGAGGGCTGCGGGGCGCCAGCCCAGCGCGGAGAGACACCTTACTGAGGCACCGAACCACACCCAGCGGCCAGGCATGCACAGCCGGGGATGCGGCCCCCGAGCTGCAGGGCATCTCCTACCCCCCAGGGGCAGCCAAGGGCCAAGCGTGAGAGTCCCAGCTGCATGCAGCCTGCCTCTCGAAACCACCGCAGAGGGCAGCTCTGGAGCGGGGCCTGGGGGACTGGCCACGCCGCTTTCGGTTTCGTTTGTTTTCCGAGCCGGCGTCTCACTAAGGAGCCTAGGCTGGCTCCAGGAGCGCGGGCATTACAGCACGTTTCGCTCTTCGGGCGAGCCCCAGGGCTGTGGCCTAGCGGGCCACCGGGCCACCCCCCGCCCCCGTGCCCCCCGGGTCGCCCTTCTCCGCCGCACGCACCCGAGGCGTTCAGCCGCCGCTCCGCAACGCAGCACTCGGCGAAGCGGCAGTACAAGTCCTCGTAGGACAGGTACCCGGTGAACGCCGACACCACCCCGATGGCGAGGCCCACGCTCACGGGCTCCAAAGCCGCCACCTCGCCCGCCGCTAGCAGCAAGAGCCACAGCACGGAGTGCCCCAACGCCCCCGACATCGCGAGACCTACAGCCCACAACAGGACAGCCACTCTGCCTCTGCCGGCGCGCGCGCCAGATGGGACTTCCGGTCTGTGCGTCATTTCCGTCCGCCAACCCGCCCACCCCAGTGGACGGCTATGCTGGAGACGGGCAGCGAGGCTCGAGCCGCCATCTTTGTGAGTGGCACAGTTGTAGGAAGCTAAATTAGAAGGATTTTTTTTTTTTTTTTTTTTT